AATTCATTTATTCAGTTCCCTCTCTCTTTCGCTTTCTCTATCCCCATACCCCATACCCATATTTATGTACTGAAAAGTTTTTACCCTCACTACTTCAAATTTCTTTTTTGGTCATATTTTAGGAAATATAAATATAAATATATATATATGTGTATGTGTGTGTGTGTGTGTGTGCGTGTGTGTGTACCTGTTTAGACATATAGACAAACATACATATATATCTACACACACACACACACATATATATATATATATATATATATATATATATATATATATATATATGTATGTATGTATGTACGTATGTATGTGTAAAATGTTGCCCCGTCTATTTTCTTATTGATAGCCTCTCTGATAATTGTCAACTCCCATCATTTTGTCATTTACTTCTAGCCTATCTTCCATTCATTTATTTCCATCTTTCGTTCTTTTTTAACAATTCTTTAAATTTCTTTCTAAGCAATATTACATTTTTTTTATTATTATTTCCTCTTTTTACCCTTCATTTTCTTCCCAGTCCAACCTCTCCCCATTTTATTTTCCTAATTTATCACGTATATCCCTCGTCCTTTCATATTCCTAGATGTATGTAAGTTTATTTCGAGCACTCTCTACATCTATAAGTCTATGGAATATATTTTTCCTGCTAGCAAACCTATCTATCAACTGAATGATTGAAATGTATCTATCTTAACCTATGTAACTGCATCTACTTTGAAATAACTATAAGTTATATAATACTGAAGAGTCATCGTAAAACTACACCTGAATCTATCTATCTATCCTTAATATGTGCATGCTTAGATTGTGTGTGTGTGTGTGTGTGTGTGTGTGTGTGTGTGTGTGTGTGTGTGTGTGTGTGTGTGTGTGTGTGTAGCGGAAGCTTTCTTAAAATGTCTTTTTTTTTGTATTTTGTTATAACATTCTTCGTCTACTTTTACTTTAATTTTCTCGTCGTCCATCTTTTCTTTAATTTAAAATGCGAGGGATAAAACCGGATTCGATGTGTATTCAAATCTCACAACGAGGCGACCCGAAACGAAAAGAACTTTCATATAGACATAATACCGTAGCGTCTAAAAATGTTGGTGGACGAATATGTGTATATATATATATAATTTTGACAAGAATAGACTTAAACAAACAAGAAAATTTCACAAGGAAAATAAAAAAATAGAAAACAGTAGTAGTGATAAAAAAATAATAATAATAATAATAATAATAATAATAATAATCACGTAAATAAAAAAAACATATATATTGAAGAAAACCTATGAGAATAATAAGATTCAGCGGCTATCGTAAGAATTTAAAAAGTTTGGTTTACAAGTTTGTCTCCTATTTCTCTTATAGATGTTAACAGACATTTACAAGCAATTTTTTTAAATGAAAATTTATTTAAAAGCGTTTTTGTTTTGTTTTGACATATTTTTGTTTGTACAGATTTTATTTATATTAATTTTAATTCATATATATATATAGAGAGAGAGAGGGGGGGAATCTGTTGTTTGAATAAGTTTATTTACATTTTTTATCACATTTTTTCAATTTTTTCGCGAAAAGACGTGAGAAAATTGAATTGAAAAAATTGAAAAAAAAACATTGTAAGTAAACTTATTTTAACAACAGCCCCCTTGAAGAATGGATAATTCCAAGAAACTTCGAAGTCGAGGAGATAACATCAAAAATTGATATTTACAATTAAGTAAATTTTTTTTATGTAATATTATTAATGCTCTATTTTTAATATTATTTTAATATTTTTAATGTTATTTTAATATTTTTAATATTGAGCACTATATGAAAATATCTACTTTACTTTTGAACTATTATAATCTTTTATATATATATATATATATATATATATATATATATATATATGTGTGTAAAATCATTACACCTCCAAGCAAGACGATAATGCCACCTGTACGCAAGAGGTTACTGAGAGTGAAAGCTAATGAGAAAATCTTAGAAGACGAAACCAGAAATCCAATCCTAAACAGAGAACAAAGGATAAACCTCTACTTCTTTTCAAAAGACTGAGAAGAAGTGTGAAATAATCATTTAGAAAAAATAAGAATAAAAAATGAAAGTGACATTGCGAAATGATAAAATAAATTGTATAAGTTAAATCCAATTTAAGCCTTCTACAATTATTTCAATGATATTTATTGTTGTAGCATACCTACGGACGATAATGGGTATTTTCCCATTTGCATAAATACAGTAGTAAATACTGTATGTTAGTCTGGAGTTGGAGATTCGTCTTCAGCCTTGCTGGTCAAATTTATTGCCTCCGGACACAGAGGATCCCCAGACGAAGCTATGTCGAAAGGCTGAGTCTCGTCTCGGGAAACAGCTACACGACCCCCTTTTATACGTGGTCTACGTGGAATTTTTGGCCGAGTCTACGAGCTCGGATACCCCACATTAAATTCGGCCTTTTGCCACATATGACCACGTGGGGCGGTTGGTAGATATCCTGCTGTTGGAGATTCATTGTGGAATTCACTTGACTCACTTCTAGCAGTTGACTACTTCTTTTAGGTGCTGCTAGCAAATCTTATATGTGCTGTTCTTGTCCTAAGTATTATCGTTCATTACCAACCTTCGTTTGATTATTCTGTTCAGTAACCTTCACTAGGTTACAACATTTATTTAACCATTTGTTTGTTGAAAATCAAGTCGCAAAAAAGAAAAAAGATTTTTTTTAATTTTTTTGCTATTATTGTTGTTATTGTTATTATTCCATATATTATTGGACTAGTATCCTCCCTTTTGTTATTTTGATCCCTATGTTTCAGCCTGTACACTCAACGACCTCCTCCAGGTGTATATCATTTCCGATAATCTTTAAGGATCCTTTTCTTGCTCATATTTTTACAAGAAAAATTATGATTTTGCAACAGCACAAGAAGTGTATTATATCTTATGGTGTCTTATTCGAATAGATTCTAAATCATCCTCAAATTTAGATATTAACAATAATAGGAACTAAACAACGTTTATTTTCGTTGATTTAGTAATGCTGACATCAGGTTGGTTTCCATTTTCCTTTGAATTTCTAATTATTCCAACTTCTCGACAAGATTCTCCGACCTTTTTTCCTAGAGCACCACTGATAATAAGTATAACTGTCCCCTTCATATTCGGCAATTTTTCAATTCTTTGGTATGGTCCATAGACTTTTTCTAACATTTCACTTTCATTTCAAAAATTTCTTGTGTGACACTGTTATTCCCTTCCTAATAAAGGAGACTCCTCACTGAAAATATTGATTTAAATACTTACATGTTGGGGGTATATATATTGTTATAACTTTTAAATGGATATTTCAAAAGTATATATTCACATAATGTATACAAACATATTAAAACGAAGAGCGAGGAAAAGTATAGATAAAAAAATTTTACTCACCATAAATTAGTGAATCGAAAAAAGAACAAAAACATAACTGGTTAGATTTTTTTCTCGGATTATATATATATATATATATATATATATATATATATATAGTTAAACCTAGAGAGCCAGACGAACCTACCAAGGTTTCACCTAAGCGGATCGTCAGGAAGCCAGCCTTCCCTGACGATCCGCTTTATGAAACCTTGGTAGGTTTGTCTGGCTCTCTAGGTTTAACTAGGTCTGCTCTACTCACTGTATTGAGCAGTTTATTTAGTTATTTTGCTTACTCGCATCGGGGTTTTTTTTTTTTGGGCCTTGGACTTGCATGCTGGACGATTATTTTCGACTAACGTACATGTTCTGGGTTCTTTTTTTTTTTATACCTTTTTTCCTTTTGGTATTGGTTTGTTTGCAAATCAAGACACCGAAGGTTTTCCGAGCAGTATAGTTTCTTATACTTATAAGATTTCTATTATATATATATATATATATATATATATATATATATATATATATATATATATATATATATATAAAGATTTTATTCTGCGCGGATTTTCCGAAAAGTTCATGAATTGTGAGGAGCTTTGCTAACACCATAACTCAAGAACAGAATTTCCATTGGCTATGTTAATGTGAGGCATCAACATAATAATCCCAACCATTACAAAAGGTATCTCAAAACAGAGATGAATGTCAACATAATAATAATCAGCAATCCTGATGTAGATCAACCTCTTACCAATCAGTGATTGGCAGGCTCTGATCTCAAACCAGAAACTGAAGGATTCATAATTGCTGTTTATAATCAGTGTCTTCCAACCAAGAACTATAAATGTAATGTCCTGAAATTTAATAGCAGCCCATCCGGAAACAAATGATCAAATAATAATTGGGTGTGACCGATTGGCGACAATAGAATAATTACAACGGTTGCCCAGTACATATATTGATCAATATGTTGCGCATTCAACCTCCCTCTCAAAGAAAACTGATAGAAACATAAGCCATCAGCATTTGTACAGAATTATTAGATTAACAGCCTCTTGAATTTCAGCGTTCAGACTGATAGGTAAATCTAGGCAAATCAGTCAGACCTAATTGTTAAAAACCACGTTGAAAACACATGTCTTCTTTTAGATATGTTGTTGCCCAAACCGACAAAAAAACCATCTTTGAAAACGTTTGAGAAACTAATTAAATACAAGTACCTTGAGATAGAAATGAGTAGAATGTGGTGTAAGACAACATTACCTGTTGTTATTGGGCTTTGGGCTTTGGGGATCATATCTAAAGCAGTAAACAAATATGTGGATCAAATTCCTGGTTAGCCTAAAATATGGGGATTGGAAAAAAATCATACTTACGTGTACATCTCACATTTTGCAAATGTTTCACTCCATGCACTGACCACAATTACATATTTTTTCCCTGACTGCATGGCACTTCATCTATTTGCATCTTCTGATAAAAGACTTTGTTATCTCTTGAAGTTTCTGGTAGAGACTTGGGGGCAACTCATACTACAAAAAAGCAAGGGCAAAACACAATACTAATAATACTGTTAATACTACTACTACTAATAATAATAATACGTAGAAGAAGAATACAAAGAAGAAGAAGAAGAAGAATAGAAAGAAAAAGAATACGAAGAATACAATGGAAAAGAATTCGAAGAATACAAAGACGAAGAAGAAAATGAAGAAGGAGAATACCAGGGAGGAGGAGGAGGAGAAGAAGAAGAAGAAGAAGAAGAAGAAGAAGAAGAAGAAGAAGAAGATATAACATAGCAGATAAGTAAATTTCGACTTCTTGGAAGTAAATATGAAATAATGTAAGAAGGAATATAAAAATTTGGCTTAGAAGGAGTACAAAAATAGACACGACTGTGTAGGAATGGTGAGCCATTGTGAATTATGTAAAAGACAATTATTTGAGCATACTAATTATTTACGCTCACACGAATCTTTTCTAGAGAAAAAGCAAGAGTCATTTTCTAAGTTTTTATACAAATACACATTCTTGTATGTGTTCGTGCAGCAATAGTAACTAAGCTTAGTGGAGCAATCGGTAAAGATCGAACTCACTTTACTAGCAATGACCTGGCAGTTGGGATTGACAAATACCACTCTACGGCAAAGACCTTTCACTTTGAACAATGCACACTTAAGATATCTACTTAAGTATATTAACACTTTGCTCATATAGTGACTTGCGTTTTTTTAATGACACAGTTTTTGCTACGTTTTGTTTTTGTTTATATATATATATATATATATATATATATATATATATATATATATATATATATATATATATATATATAAATACAAAAGGAAAACTTATGACACGCACACACATATTTCTAGAGAAGTAATGGATTTTTATTTATTAATGCGACAGATTTTATCATTTTAAACGATTTTGTTTTCTGGTGGATATCCATATTTGAGTAAACGCTCCGTTGATTTATTAAACAGTATATTTATTTATATTCGTCTACCGGCCTGAATATTCGATCTTATTAAAGAAAAACATGCGCTCTCCGGGAGGATTCGAATCGACGTCACCCATTTGCAGGAGAAAGTGTTGTTAGATCCGACGACGCAAGTACGAATCCTATCGGGGAACAGATAGATAGATAGATAGATAGATAGATAGATAAATAGATAGATAGATAGATAGATAGATAGATTTTCAAACACGTTTTGCTAAATAATATCGTATACTGAATTGAACAAGTAAAATAAAATACACGTAAAGATTCAGTTTGATAGCTATAAATGACGTCACTTTCATTGACTTCAAACGAGGGAACACCGGAATTATCCAAAATCAGTTAAATACACACATAAAAAAATCGTTGAAAACGAATGTAGTAACATACGAAAGTACCCGGGAAAAATAAAAATGAACTTTGGTAAATTTATCTATTATATAAAGCAACTAATTCAGAAATTTGAAAAAGTTTATAAAGAATTGGATAGACAGAACATGTCGATATTATTCAACAAAACATATTTGAAATAATTATTACTGCCTAAATACACCTTATATATATATATATATATATATATATGTGTGTGTGTGTGTGTGTGTGTGTGTGTGTGTGTGTGTGTGTGTGTGTATGTATGTATATTTATTTATTTAGTTGAATGGATATGAGTTTGTAACAGTCGGTTTCACGCTTATGCGATCCTCAGACAAAGTTTTTGCTTGTTTGAGAATAGCATAAACGTGAAACCGACGATCAAAAACTCATATCCATTTAACTAAATATGTTAGCTCAATCACTGATATTGAGTGCTTTCCAATTAGCACAGCGCATCTATAAAATATATATAAAATTTATATATACGCATATATATATATATATATATATATATATATATATATATATATATATATATATATATAATTGATATTCAACACGTTATACGAGAGAGAAATTTTAGACTTGCCCCGTCTCCGACTTCCCGCCACCAAAACTGGCGTTTGATATCATCGTATAATTTTAGAGGCCAAGCTATATATGTGTCATACTTTTGCGCACTTTAACTTTTCACAGTTAATGACGTCGCGGCAATGGCCTTTATTTTGTGGGTCACAATTCATCGTTAATGAGACATTGTTGTCGGCGAGAAATGCGGACCATATCTAAGAACAATTGGTGCCGAAATATGGTGATGAAAGGAAATTTGAATATGACAACAACAATAAAAAAAAGACGAAAGAGAAAAACGTTTTCTTTAAACAGTTGCTCTTGACTGCAATTCATGAGTGTCAAACAGAAGTGGATGTTGAGATTTCATCTTTTTATTTTGTCTTTGTTATGTATTGGGTACATTTATTTAGAAAGCGATTTTTTTTCTCATGAACTACTCACTAATGTGGATACATTGAGGCTGGTGTCTGTTTTAGGTACTCATTCACGTGTGAGTAAAATAGACATTGTTTGTGTGTGCTTGCGAGCACACGTTTATATGAATAATAGTGTACTTGCGTATCAGGCAATGTGAGTGTAGATATATGAGAATCTGTGGCAATATGTGTTCGAATGTGTGTGAAAGACACAGAGAAAAAAACAATGTACAAATTGATTGTCCTCGTTTTCCTCAAAACCAATCTGTGTTATTTAGGCGTTTATCAAAAGAGATTTTACGATTTTTGTTTTTGCTTTAAAAAACGTAAATTAATATAGCCGAATGCAATGTGTATGTATATGTAAATTATTCCTTAGTACATGAGTATATGTGAATGTGTGTCCAATAGTCAGGTTTAGTTTTTCCGCAGTAATATGGACATATTCAGAAATAAAGAGGCGTTTATAAAAGAGTTGAAATTCTGTTTGCTAATTATTTCTTTTCATTTTTTTTTTTCTAAATAAAATTTACATAATGGAAAAAGTATTTTAAATGTAAAAAAAAAACACACAAGTATTATAATAAACAAGACAAAGAAGATATTATTGGATATTTTAACATTCGGACACATTTTTAAATGTGTAGTATATTTATACGAGGTGTTGACATTTCTTAGCCTGTTCCGCTTCTCACCCGTTTCCAACAGCGTGCAGAAGGGGGCAGAGGGTGCGACGGCCCCGACCATTCATATCGGGAGGGCATCCAATCAAAAAATGAAATAAAAATTTACTTTTTATTTAAATTGAATAAAGTGTTTATTTCAGGATTCACCTGTTTTTACATATTTAAAATGTCTTCCTTTCTCACATTTCTCAGTACTGGCCATATAGGCCTCGCTACTTTAGTCTTAGGGGCATAAAGTCAAGGAATTGGTTTAGGATATCACCAACATCACCAAACCTCTGAACGTCACATCATCTTTTCTTTATTTATATTTTTTTTCTTCTTTTGTTCAATATTTCTTTTGTTCTTTGTTTTTAGTAGATTTTATTTGTCTTTATGTCATCATTTGTTTTCTTAATTCCCTTCATTTTTCTCTCGATCATTTCCCCTTCCTTTTTGTTCTGGATTTCGTGCGTTTTATCTCATTTATACTCTCTTCCCTTTAGATTTAACATTCTATTATCCCATAAATTTAAAATCTTTATTCTGTGTGTGTGTGACTTTATTCTATCTAAATCGATTGATAAATAAAAGTGATGAGCAATAAGTTTTTATTATAGTATCTGTTTATACATTTATCATATTAATGCGTGAACCTCTGGAAAAATTTATTTCGGTTGAGCTCTCTGGGGAGGAAGTGTGAGTTTGTAAACAGTGACTATTACGGCTAATAATGCAAGTCTCTTCGGTAAATCGAATCGAGTTCTCTCAGTCACTGTGTTTATCTAAAAATAAATTCACTTTCAAAACTGGCGTGCACCAACGGCTTAGGTGTAGAATCCCCGACTGACACCAATTCACTAGGGTTTCGATCCTAGCTAGAGACAACTGGATGTCTAGCCACAATGATGAGCTGTGATACAGCGAAACAGTCTATCTGTGGATGACAATATATATATATATATATATATATATATATATATATAAGCTTTGTTGTTTCATTGTTAAAGAGAGCAAGAAAAGTACCTAATCATGAAATTATTTTTGTTTAAAAAATTTTAATATTTTTGTTCAAGCCAAATGCAAAAATGGAAATAAAATCTAATCTGAAGCTGTTTTTTTTTTTTTTTTTCTAACTTTCTTTGATTCTTCATTCTTGGTTCTATCTTTGATTCTCACCACTTTTGTGCTTCTTGATTCGACTTTGCGCATGACCGGAATTGTTAACGGTTTAACCATAAAAGCAAAAATTTATTTCGGACAAACACAATTATTCGTCTTGGCCATCATAACCCTGAAGATGATATTGGAATATATCAAAAGCACTCGGAAAAATAAAAATGTATGTATATGTGTGTGTATGTATGCATGTATGTATGTATGTATATATTATTCTTTCTTGGCTTCCTTTGTTCAAAATGAACTTCGTGCAATACACTTGTATCTTTCTTTTATATTTTATATTTCTTCTTCTACTCTGCTTTTCTCTCTTTCTCACATTCTCTCCTTGTCTTACTTGTTCGCTCGTTTGCGATACATAGATAGATAGATAGATAGATAGATAGATAGATAGATAATGTGCGCATGCACGCAAAAACAAAGTTGACGGAAAGAAAGGTTTTCAAAGAAAAAGCAAAGAGAAGAAAAGAAATAGAATGAAGAAATCAGTCGAAACCAAAAATGATAGAAAAGAAACGCTAGAAAATAAGGCGGGAAAAGTAGAAAGACCGATTTAAAACAATGTTAAAAGAATCACGTTCATTCTCTCTGTCCATAATAATAGACACAAAATCCTTGACATCTATACATGTTAGTACTCAAAAACAATACAATCAGTTACCCTCCCAGAAAACAACACGCGCCCTTCATTGTTGTACTCGCACAATAGTCAATATAATCCGAGTAAACGTAACGCATACACACTTATGGTAGATTTTTGTACGTTTTCTCACTCATATTGACATTAACAAACTGATGTTAGTAAAATATTTAGTAAATACTATTTTCTTATATGGGCAAAGTGTAGTTTGATTTTCAGTTTATAACAATTTATCCGTATTAAAAATACTGATAATGGTTTTATAGGTGTGAGTTTTGTTTCATACAAAGTTCAACAATTTTTTTAAATTAATGTATCCAAAAGATATAGGCAACATGTTTGATTAATGCACTATCACAAATACCTAAATAAATCATTATTCTGCATGCTAATATATTCTCCTCTGTGTTGTATCATCACACTCAGTCTTTCATTTACAGATTTTGTTAATCTTTTAACCTTCGCTTAGTGTTCTCTTTTTTTATATAATGCTCTCTAAAAGATATATCACAGGTTTTATATTCCCATATACAGCCCTCTTAATGATAGATCACGTTTTCCATTCTCATATACATCTCTTTTGATGATGAATCATAGGTTTTCCATTCTCATATACAGCTCTTTTAATGGTGGACAACGGGTTTTACATTCTCATATACAGCTCTTTTAATGATGGAAAACAGGTTTACCATAGTCATATACAGTTTTTATTAATTCCGAATCGCAGGTTTTCCATTCTCGTATACAGCTCTTTTAATGGTGAATCACAGCTTTTCCTTTGTCAAATACAGTTCTTTTAATGATAGACCACAGGTTTTCTATTCTCATGTGCATCTCTTTTAATAATTGATCATGAGTTTTGCACTCTCATATACAGCTTTTTTTAATGATGAATCATAAGTTTTTCATTCTCATATACTTTTGCAAATTTTACTATCACTTCTAATTGCCATAATCATTAGTCTGGCTTATGTAGCTCCCAAGTCACTTGATAGCAAATTTGACGCAACCACGAAAGCTGATGAGTCGTGTTTTCTCTTTTTTCACATAGTTTTTAAATATCATTTCTTGGATTTAAGGTTCTAAATCTATGCTCAACAATTTCCTTGTACTTTGTTCAAATTTATCCCTTCTTCTCTTGTCCAGTTTAGGAAGGGTCCCGAATGTTTTGCGGTGTATATTTCATAGATATTTATTCTTTTGTCCATGTTTCTGCTATTGAGTCTAATTTCCAAAATTGTCCTTGTGGTTCTTAAGTATTCTTATCTAGCTTTTTCCTTCATTTCATCTAAAATGTCCCCACTTTTAATAAATGAAACTACCGCTTGCTCCGACAAGCTTTACCATTCGGCAACGAAGGATTTAGACGTAATAATAATTTCAGTTCAAAAGTATATCCATTAAGCCTTTAGAAATAGGTTTGCTTACGTTCTTGATACGAAGCTAAGAATCTATAGGCTTTCGATAAAAATAGACTGATTGAAGAGAATTTGCTTTCCTTCAATAGAGTGAAAAGAGCCTTGTTCACATTGAAGTTATTCATGGCCGAGCAGTAAAGCATACCGGATCAAACAATAGTTTCACTTACAAAATGGAAGGCAAGTTAAACACCAAAAGACACATTTTCTTTACTATGATTTCCCAAATGCGCAAATTAAGTGTCATTTTAACCCATAAATATAGCATACCATAAATATTATATATATAAAAAGTATAATTATATCACACACACACACACACACACACACATATATATATATATATATATATATATATTTCTGTAGTTCACTGCTAACAGCAAGCAGAAATATTTCTCCTCCCGATGATGGCAATTTCGGTCGAAACTAGTCGAGGAATCTAATGGAATAATAATAAAAAAAAACGAAAGAATATTAATCTACAACCCAGTGTGTCTAATGATTTTAATTTTTTATTTTTTATTTTCTTATTGTTCAAAATATATATATATATATATATATATATATATATATATATATATATATATATATATATATATATATATATATATATAGGGTATATTTACAGAACAGGAATTTGTACAAACAAGTTTTGATAAAATTAACGGGCAAGGTCTGTCTAATTTTTTATTATATTCTTCTAATTCTCGAATAAGACGTTGCACATCAGGTTCAAAATTGTGGATAAACTGTCAGATGTTCATATTTCGTTCTGTGAAAGTAAATTTGACTCTCTCACTGATTGTCACGAAGTGGAGGATTGTTGATGTGATAAACAAGAGTTCGTTGGCTATTTTCTGGCATTTGTGGAACGCTGGAGTTCGTATTTGTCCAAAGTGACGTCATGTGTAAAACGATTACATGGAGCTAGAACGCACAAGATATATCAAGTATTATTACATATAATATTTTTGTTTGTTTTCTGATCCTATTAAATATTTTAGAAACACTTCAAGGAACCATATCCTGTAATGAAAGATATTTTATTAATGTGGCTTGTTTCTTCTATATAATAATTGCTTCTAAAACACGAGTCTTTCATTGCAAGGAGTACTATATAGTATTTAAGTATTATCTACTAATATTTGTCTTAATTCTCCGCGGTGTATTTAAGCGGTATTCGATTATGTTTAGTATTATGACTTTAGAAATGGGCATTTTAAAAGTATATATCAATATATACAAATATATTCAAATAAATCAATCCTTGTCTTTGATAGGTTCAAGCTAACTGTTGTGAGCAGTCTAAGCAACATTCCCTATGTAATGAGAAGAAATGGATCCTGGGTTTAAATGTAATTTGTCTGTAATTTATATATATTTTTATTCTTTCCTTTTTTTTAAATCGTTGTGCACAGTTGTATTTTTGTTCTCGATTGAACTCTGAAGAGCGAGGAGCGATAACCAGTCGCCCGCACCTTTTTTTTTCGAGTCACCATTTTACAATGAGACTTTTTTTTTTTTTTTTTGCTTATCCTTGTTCTTCCTCCCCGTTTATTTTAATCCATTCGCATATATTAATATATACTTTTAAATATTCACTTTTAAAACCACAATGCTTGACGATGAACTTGTTGGTCGGAACATTGGAAGTTTTGAGGAGCGAGGAATCACCTCTTAATTGTTGTTGTTCCCAGAATCACTCTGATCCAGAGTAGCAGCACCTGCTAAAATCCCAACTATATGCAAATTAATAAACAAAAATCAAAACACTTCTTTCTTCTTATATACCGTGTCCTTTCAGGACGTAGGCGATCATGGCTCTCCACCTCCTTCTATCCCTTGCAGCTCTCAACAATTTCCTTCCCTCTGCCACCTCCCCTAGAGCACGTTCTGTCGTCTACTTGCTTAAGGCTGCTAGGTATGTCATGCGTTGTTTTCCCTTGTCTCTCTTTCCCTCTATTCGATCCGTGAGTATCATATTCTCCAGGCCCTCCTTTCTCATTACGTGTCCCAGGAACTTCAGCTGACTCATCCTGATGTTAAGTATAAGCCCCCCCCCTTGTTTGCATCCTCTTTTAGATCTCATCGTTGCTTACACGCTCGGTCCATGTTATCCTTATCATCCTTCTGTAGAACCACATCGCCGCCGCCTCGAGTCTCTTCATGAGGAAATCGACCAGCATTCGCTGTCATAAAGAAGGACAGATGTCACGTAACAGCTCAGTATTCTTTTCTTCTCGCCCAAAGAAATCCTCTTGTCTAGCAATACTCTGCCCAGCTTTTGGAATGCTTCCTTGGCCATCCCAATATATCTACAGATCTCAATGTTGCATTTACCGTCCTCTGTCAGAACGATTCCCAGATATTTAAACTTCCGCGTCTGCTTGATTCTAGTGTTCCCGACCCTCAAATCGCATTTCGGGCTCATACATTTTTATAGTAAAAATACCAGGAATTTATTTTTATAGTAAAATGACCAACAATACATTTTAAAGTTTGAATGTTTATATTTAAATAACCTATATGGGTTGTTATGCTACAAAACAAAACAAAACCAAAATTAGACATAATTAATTTTTTATCCTCCACAGATTATTTCTAACTAGAAGTAGAGCCCGGCGTTGCCCGGGGATGTAACAGTAAGAGATAGATCAAGTATCGACCATCATGAAGACTGAAAAATAAAATTGACAAAGATTATTGTTTAAGGTTGACGGACACGCATGTCTTAAATAGTTTTTTTTGTTTGTTTTGTTTTGTTTTTTGGGGGGTTTTTACGAATTGGTCAAACCCAAACTCAAACAAAAACATTGTTTTCAATCGTTATGAGTCTACCGATTGAATAGAATTTTATTATAAACAATTGTCTTGTAAATGGAATTTTTAAAGCATTCTGAATGTAAAAATAAAGAAAAAAGTGTGCAAGACCATAAGAAACACTACCTGCCAAAAAAAAGTGAAGTTTTGTTGAAATCGGTTTAAAAATATAGGAAATCCGATCCCATATATAAACGAACACACACACACACACACACAACCTGGGTTTATAATAAGTATAACTCGATATGAGTTGCCCCCCTTTCATTAATGCCTCTTAATCGTGTTTTCAAATTGATTTCGTGCAAAAAAAATTGTGTTTTTCCAATTTTTGGCGCTGTCAGAACCACTTTTTTACGGAGTCCTGTGAAGTTTTGTTGAAATCGGTTGAAAAATGTAGGAAATCTGATCCAATATATAAACGTACAGACACAGACACAGACACACACACACACACACACACACAAACACAATCTGCGTTTTATAATAAGTAAGATTAATATGTTCTTTGGCTTGTAGATATTTAGTAAACGTAGCTCCATTTGGAACAGTAATGTTGCTTCCTGTTAGGGTTGAACTTGCGGCTATAACAATGATCTGATTGACTAGTTTGCATTTTATTGACATTATCTTTGCCTATTAACATGAAACTTTTTCTAAACTTTGCTCTTTTTTTAACTTTACAAAGCAGAATCAACATCTTATCGGACGTTTCTCTTCTGCCATGAGTATTCTTTTACATATCTCCATTTCTTCTTTTTCGATTTCCTCATTTGATTTATCCAAAGGAGCCTCCTTCATTTCCAAGCATTAATAGCAACTCCATCGATCAATAATTTTTGCTGATTTGATCTCAACAGTTGTTGGAATATGATTCCACGCTTTCAGATAAAAGAACCTTGGATTGATTTTATTTTAACCATTAAATATTTTTTCTATTTTAAATATTTCGCATTATTGACCCGAAACTACTTCGAATTCAGCATTTGCAATTTTAGACGCATTTTCTTTTCTTTTCGTCGAGGTTTCTTGCTTTCTAAACGTGACCATAGAAATTACATTTTTCTTTCTGCGACATTCATCATTTTCACTTTGTTGATAAAAAGATAATGCTACCAACAACCAATGAGCTCAACCATTGGCACTCATCTCCCATTCCCCCTCTCACATACACACACATATACACTCACACGCATATATACCTATACGTACATACATCGACAGTCAAAGAGTACAGCACCACCGTGCATTTTTTTTCGTCACAACCACCGGATTTTAAGGTACCTATTGCTTCACACTCTGCACGTTCGGAATTGGTTTACGGAGCCATCTCCGGATTCACTGATGAATTGCAAGACAGACCAAATCTTCTTCGGAACAGATTGATAACCACAAAATAGGTGAATATATGTATGTATGAGAATGTGAGTGCGTGCATTTGCGTATGTAATAAATAAATGTTAGCTATTCTTATCTTAGTTTGGTACAAGGCTATGTTAGTGAGGCACTCAAGTGATGATCGAACTAACTTGCTTTCTGTCTATCGTAATATTGGAGAAAATAGATAGATAGATAGATAGATAGATAGATAGATAGATAGATAGATAGATAGATAAACATGTTTATCAGAAGTATAAAAATCTTATGCTTCAAATTGGGTTGTAAATTGCTTTATTCTTAAAGCATTTTAACGGTGTAGCGCTAACAATATTCTTGCTATGATGTACCGTTTTTCTTTTACGGTAACGAATCTGCAAATAGACTTTAGATATAGATACTGTCTTAGATATACGTCATTACTGAACATATAGTCAGTCTTATTATATTATGTTTATAAGTGACTTTTTTCATAATGGTTCACTGATAAAATAATCAGATTTATTTAAAATGCAATTAAGTTTTATTGCTTTGATTACGAGGGTATATTTATTCTGAAAAAAAGGAAAAATGTTCGTGTTTTTTTGTGGTGTTGAAGTCCTTTACATTCCAATAGGTTAGTTTGATATTAATAATAGTAAGGCTATCTTGACTTGCTTGAATCGAAAATGTCTCAAGTCGTTATCATTAACTTTGATCCCCTAATTTTAATAGAAAAATACTGCCATTTTAACAGTGTGGTTAGTCATGAATAATTGTTTGTCGTGATCGTAGAAGAAAAGAAAGAATATTAATGTACAATATTCAGTGAGACCTTTAAAATATAACTATGATCAAAATATGTCGGTTTTTCCCTGTTCACTGAGTTAAGAAATTGTTTAAATTTTATGATTTCAACATTTCTATTTGGTTAAATATGACTTCCAAAGCTATATAAGACCAAACAAGAAGAAGTCTATGAAAAAAAAAAACGTTTCTAAATTTTGTTTATATAAGCGGACATAGTTACAGAACCATTTATGAATTAGATTCACTGCTGAGTACAAAGTTTTAAATAAAAAAAAATTATCTCTTAAAAGAACGGGAAACGGAAATGTTGGAGAAGGCAAATGGATGAAAAGGGTCATGCTTTTAGTTAGTCTCAAAGAAAGAAAGAAAGAAAGAAAGAAAAGAAAGAAAGAAAGAAAGAAAAAAGAAAAGTACTGAAAAGCGTGGAATTAAAATTGAGAGAAATGGGTGAAGACAATCACAGCGTTCGGCACTGTTAGGAAATGCCTAAAACCATACCACGAGTTCACCTAAGACTTGTGATTGAAACTGGGTATAAGAAACTGCGTATATATATATATATATATATATATATATATATATATATATATATATATATATATATATATATATATATATAAATGTGTGTATAAAAATATATATATATATATATATATATATATGCATTTTTTATATATATTATTTACATATTATATATGCACGGTACTTATTGGAAAGCGCTCAATATCAGTGATAGAGCTAACATACTTAGTTGAATTGGTGAGAGTTTTTGATTCTGGCTTTCACGTTATTTGCTATCGTCACTCTGTCTGACGATCGCAAATAGCGTGAAACCCAGAGTAACAAACTCTCACCAATCCAACCAAATATATATATATATATATATATATATATATATATATATATAGAGAGAGAGAGAGAGAGAGAGAGATAGATAGATAGATAGATAGATAGATAGATAGATAGATAGATAGATCCTAATAGTGTAAAAGCAGCATTTATTTTACACAACAAATATTTATTTTCAATATAATTTAATTCCTTGTCAATACGCCTTGAATAATACCAATTATATCGATAGAACATAAGGCAGTAAAATTACAGAAAATTCAGTTAATAATTGCATGTCAAGTTACGTACATTGATCTAACCATATATATATATATATATATATATATATATATATATATATATATATATATATATATATATGAGTGTGTGTATGTGTGCGTGTGTGCGCGTGCGTTATTTTGAAGGTGTGAATGATGCTTTTGCAATGTGCAGACAATATAGACACTGATGATTATGTCTACGGGTGGGGAGATCTTTCAGTTTGTACATTTAAGCTATCTCTTAGGAATGTGTGGTGGATGTAAAGAAAAATGAATTTCTGAATGGACCTGAGTTCAAAAACATTAAAAATGCCCCGGAAATGACCCTGAATCGGGGGCATTAAGTATGTCTGCGAGCGAGATGCCTGAAAGAGAGGCGCAAAAAAAAAGCGAACATGACAAAGAAGAGGTTGCATTATCGAGTGAAACAGAAAAATAAATTGGAAACGATTAAGCGAGAAAAAAAAATCAAAAAAGAAAGAAATCTACAAATACATAATGTGAAAGTAGTGTGCCAAAACAAAAAAAAAAATAAAAAAAACAATTTTTAGCAAGTCTCGCAAGACATTGCTAACGATTTCATTATTAGCTGGATTGTTTGTCATGGTCTTGTATAAGACTGAATTAAGCCTAATAAATATTTTCATGTCCTTGACCCCAAGAGCATCAACATATTTAACTTTTCTTACAATCTTATTTTATGTGCCAAGTCCTTTCCGGACGTTGAAGATCGTGTCTCTCCACAACTTCCTGTCTTTTGTTATTCTATTTTTTTACGTTTTATCATACCTCTACAGGGTGGTCCGAAAGTATCGTCACCCTCTAACTCTCTTCTAAACTATAGAAACTCGTATCACTTATCTGAAATAGAAAATTATATTATGTAGAGATGACAAGACTTTCAAACCAAACTATATCTTCCTCTTCTGCCATCCCTCTACACAAACTTGCTAAGTAGGTTACTCGCTGTTTCTTCATGCATCTCTTTCTTTCAGTATGTCTTGTACATGTTAAGATCTCCGAACCTTCTTTTCTCGTTATGTGTCCCATAAATATTAACTGTTCTGATTGTAAATATAAGTTTCCTTATTTTACTTCCTAGTTGCTCACATATTCTGCCAGTGGTATTCTTAGCATTCGTCAGAATTGCATCCCAGTTGCACTAAGTCTCGTCTTCATTTGTAAGGAAATTGTCCAGCATCCACTGTCATATTGGATCTAGAAGCGGCGAGTACAGATGAGGAAGCTGCTCGTAAGTTTGTTGACAGTCTAAATGAAGTAATTACGGATGACGGGTATCAAGTAGAATGAATTATTAATGTGGCTGAAATGTGTGTTCAGCAAATATTAACCTGTAGTATGCAGTGTTTAACTTTAACCCAACGAAGGTAAAAATAATAAATAAGACAATCTGAAAAGAAATGATACAAATGGTATCAAACAGAAAGAAACTGTAAAAAAGTACTTTTATTAAATACAATAACACCTAAAAGAAAAGAAAAATTAAAAAATTAATTACAGGGCAACTTACGACCAAATCGATTTTCGACCTGTAACCAATCGCAGTCGTAAGTCGACGACGACGACATATATTAAATATTACATAACAGGTCATCACATTTTTCTTTGTTTCTAATGACATTTTCCTTTATCCTAATAATTTACTTAGTTTCTCTAAGACATTTTTATCTATTCCTATGTATCATTAGATTTCTGTGTTGCATTGTCTGTTACTATACTAACCAGATAGTTAAATTTAAACAGTTTCTTATCTGTGCAAAAGTTCCTTCATAATTCATGGTTATTACAAATTTTATTTGTAAATTTACTGCGTGAGAAAATATTTAGGTTTTTGCTCTCACAATGCATCTATTTTACATACAAATCTGTAATAAGCAAATGCACTTTCCTTTAAATCTTAAAGAAGATGATCGTTTAGATAGACTAGAGCTTCAAAATCACAAAGAGATTTAACAAATAACAAAAACCACATCAGTTCCAACAGCAACAACATCACTATTGGGTAGAATATGAAACTAGAAGAGAAAATGCTGCTATAATTAATTCGACCAGTGAAAGCCGGATAATGTCCACATAAATGAAGAGGGGACAAGGCAGCAGCGATATGGTTCTACCGAAAAATGCTGGGAATACTGTAAGTGTACCATGTAAGCAACGAAGAAGGTTTAAAGAATGTTAAATCAAAAAGGGAACTTAGAGTCAAAAAGACCAATTTTTTTCGATACATAACAGAGATAAAGAGCTTGAAGAATTTGTCACTCATAGAACATAATGAGGGCATGAATAGGAGAAGGAAATAGCGAGAAACTTACCTAGAATCTTGTGCACGTGGGTGGCAGACCTGGTAATGGGAAGAAATTACGAAGGACAGCAAAGGATAGCTAGTTGTGGACAGCCATTTTGGGCCACATTACGAAAAAAAATTTACATAAAATAAATAGACAACACTTGTCTATATTATTTAATGAAACCTGTATAAATGAAAATATGCTGCCTAAATACACACAATTTAAATTACATGATCCAGCAGCCCACAATACTATCAATACTTGGAATTACAAATGTAGCCTTGTGAAAAGGCAAATCGAAATATCCAAGGAAAAATTAAACAACTTTAACAGCAAAAAACAGGACATTTACGATGAACTACAGGATATAACTACCCCGGACCAACTGGAGGAAATTACACATAGACTCACGGAAATTACCAATAAATCTGAAGCTCAACACCGAATTAAAATTATAAAAAAACTGAATACATTATACAAAGGTAATATCACTCTTCCTAACAAAACTTATAAATACATTAACCTTTCCAACTATGAACTAACTAAGCACCAAAAAGAATTACTTAACCTTGGACCTAACTGTCATATATACCGTAAGTACAATCGACTTTTTAAAAAAATAGAAATTGAGACCCTATACCAAAACATCGTTAAACTCCAGGATGAACAACTAATAGAAACTACACCAGAATTTAAAGACTTACTTAAGGCCGAGGCATTGAAAGATCGACATGATAAAAGCAGAAACTCCTCAAAAATTCTTTCTAAACAACTGAAAATTGCCGCACAAGAACTACGTAACCACCCTGACATTATTGTAAAAAAAGCTGATAAGACCAACATTTTTGTCATCCTAAACAAATTGGATTACAACAAAAAAACTAGACCACATACTCCATGATCACATAAAGTTTAAAAAACTTAACAAGAACCCGACCAACCAACTAAAATCAAAGCTTAATAAACTTATTAATGCTAATAATGCTGAACAGAACTCTTTAAAACTCCCTAAAATTGTTGGTGATTATAGACC